TTTTTGCCGGGGCCAGAGGCGCGTCGGACGCGGAGGAGAGAGAAAAAGAACGGTGGTTTCGCGGGATAAGAACGAGGACGAAAAAGGGTGGCGAGTCGGGCGAGAAACGCGGGGTTGGTGGAGAAGAGGGGGGGGGAGAAGAAGATCGCTGAAAGACGAAGAAGGGCTTCCGACGGGCCGCGTCAAAGACAATGTTTAACGCGCGCGGGCATAGAAAACGCGCATATGCCGCGCACGTGCCGACAAGGGCACGTAAAACTCAGCTTTGTTTGCTAAATAACGTCCTCGAGAGTGCCCCGGCCCGATACCGTGGCTCCCAGGGAGGCTTTGCAGGACGCCGCGACGCTAGGTGTCCTGCTATGCGGGCGTAATTGCGTCAATTAACGAGTCACGCTTTCGACGCGGCTGATAAAATTGCTTTTGCGCGACTACCGACGATCAATTTCCCTTTTCGCTCGTCACGACGCCTCCAGACACCACCGAAAGTTCCTAAATAAAAAAGATAAAGCGTAAAATAGCCCAAAAATCGAGAATAATTGTACTCTCTGTTTCATTTAAAAAAATTATTTTTTCTTCTCAGTTAACTATGCTTTAATCATCGCTAACGTCTCTAAAAAATTTCTTGCGTCCAAAGTAGAGTTCTAAATATACTCCGTATTTGTTCTCCACGCGAAACACGCGATCGTACATTGTCCAGGAATATAAACGAATAATTGATGAACGTCGCGAACCTTCCCGAGGCTCCCTTCTCCTCTCCATGTTGTTTCCTCGTTCTACGGAGCGACAATTAGCGTGTATCGGAGGCAAGTCGTTCGACACTTTATTCCGCTCGGTCTGTTGTTAATATTTCGCTCGATTCAATGCCGTTTAGTGTTCGAACAGCAGCTGTTTCGACATTCCTCGGACAGAAACGTCATCGCGTCAGCGCGTACACACGAGGTACGATTCGTATCTTAATTGGGAATTTGCTTATCCAGATAAGGAATCGTTACATCGCGACTGATATTAAATTCGATCGTTGGTCGTGGACGTGTGAAAAAAAATTCGTATCCAGGAGGAACGAGCGTGGAAACGTATTCTTAATTAAAAACCATTATGAACGTTGCTGAGAATTTTTTTTTGTTGTTCGAGCAACGCTCGTATCGGAATTGTTCCGAGTCCAAGTACATATAATTAAAAAGGGAACAATCTTTTAATTTGCTGGTAAATATTACCGGTCGAACGTTATTTAAAATATTGCGGATAATTGTAATCTTTTAAACTCGCCAACGGGGTTAAATAATAATAAAATGCACCCAAGGTTTCCTTCTTCGATGCAAACGTTTTAATAAGTGGCGATTCGATGAATATGGCGACCGGGTGAACATTCGACGTTCGTTTCATTCAATTTTTCCAACGTTTCCTTCGCGGCCTCGTTTATCGGGCAACGCCGTTTATTGAATTCGACAACATTAATTTCCTGTAAATACGATCGATGCACGGAACAAGACGTAAACTAATTACGCTGACATTATTACACGTCTCCGTTCCGGAATCATTGATTTACAATACGAAATTTTTCGCTCCGAATAACCGCACGACGCTCGTTGAAAAGGTAATTTTCCTGTCTCGATCGTCGAAAGCTATTTACAAATAAATTTATCAAACGAATCAAATGAATTTATATTAAGGAAAGAAACAAAAAAACTTATCTTACGAATGTTTCGACCTAAATTCAATCGTTTCAGATTTTCTTTTTTTTTCTAAATGTCCGCGCATTCGCGACTCTCACGCGTCGTCGTCGACGAAGTTTGCTCCGAAGGCGTCGAGGTCCGAGATCGAAGAGCCCGAAATCCGCCGCTTCTGTCGAAATCGTAGCCATAAATCGAGAGGTAATTGTGCGGAGAGAGGTATTTGCCGTTTGACGGCCGGGCAAACGCGCGATCTATTTACTTCGTCATACGTACATATGTAGGACGGGGCGAGAAGGTAGATAATCGCGATGTAAACAGGAGACGTACGTTCGTTTCTGGGAAGTGGATAATCCACATTTCCAAACAGAAATTTAAAGCCTCGTGTCGCCAAAATCGAGCCGCGCTCCCTTAAATTCCCTCAACGTCCGTTTGAACGACAGCCCGAAGTTTCTCGACGTCCAACTCTCCCGGAGTCATTTCGAGAGGGAATACAATCAACGATCTCTGGAAACGAGCGCAAAGGAAGACGCGTTCTATTAAAAGGATATGAACACGTTACAGGTTACGATTCCCAAAAAGAGTGACGAACTCCAAGTATAATTCATTTTTCAAACGATCTAACTTTTAATATGAATTAAAGATCATATTACAAAGTAATCTAGAAGAGGACTTCTCAATTTATATTCTATATATGTTCGCGACGAGCACGTTAGGTCATATTCAAGCTTTACGAACCATGACACATTCTAGAAATAAATATAAATTAAAGTTATTTCTACGATCGATCGCTGGCAGAGAGTCGATCGCTCTCCCGTCGGATAGTTTGTCGAATCTGCTTCCGTTCTTACGATCGTATAAATTCCTATTAACGTCCAACGACCAACGAAATAAACTTCGTGTTTACCGTGGCACTCTGAACCCGAACGGACAATGGGTAAGACGGTCCTGGAATTTTCGAAATTATCGAATACGCGACGTCCGGATCGACGACCCGTAATGCCGTGTGCAAATTACGAGCATAAATCCCGCTGAAAGCCGATCGTTCATCAGGCTGCGACTAGTTTTGCGCCGGCGAGACGCGTCGACGACTCCGCGGAGCGGTTTTCGGATTCCAACTTCGTGGCAGACATGCGTGCGCCGGCGTTCAACCTTTAACTTAAATCTTACTGTTCGACCTGGACCACTCTCTGACACTGACAGACGTTGGTCGTTTGGGGAAGACACCGATCATGCCCGGGAGTTCGAAGACGAACGAATATTTCAGACAGATAGCTCTCGACCCATTAGCCGCGCACGAGTATACTCGTCGCGAAGTGGAATGGCAATTTTTCTCGTTAAATCCGGAACTATCGATACGGAGTCTAGATTTCTGGAAATTCTATGCCATTTTTGAGTTTACTTTGACAAATGTATCTCGACAAGTGCATATTGCAACACCGAAAATCGGGGCAAAGTTTCTTCATTTTCCGTATCCCACGCGAATTATTTCGATGGCGTACACTCTCAGAGTAGAAAGGGGATAGTCGAGGGGGAGGACGAGTGTTCCGAGTCTCACCTCTCGGGGCTCGCGTCACGCTCGAAACGCGACGGCATATCCTTCGATTCTTCTCGAAACTATCTCGTACGCTACATATCTCGATCGGTTCGACCACCGATCCCATTCGTCAACGTTCGACGAGCGTCGCGCCGCGATTCCGCGAGCGGTTTCCGTTACTCCTCGTACCAGACATGCGTGCGCCGGCGGTTCAACCTTCACAGAATCTTGCTTGTTCAACCAGGACCACTCTACGGACACTGACAAAGATCGCCGAGAAAGATCGTCAACCCCCGCGTGTGTACACGAGTCACGACCACCGAGCCTCAAAGTCGTTTCCGGTCGTCTCGCGATTCGAGGTTCGCGACTGTTGGTGCCTCCTACGTACGATCGACCACTGACCGATCGAGATCGCCGATCGATCGAGAGACCGTCGCGGAGGTCGCGTCCCCGTCGAACGCAACGTCGGGGTTAATCGGTGGAGAAATATTCCGGTATCTTTTCGCGGCGGCGTCATCGCGCGAACTAAAGAATATCGCAGTTGTAATTAAGAAAACGGAGCCGCCGTCGCCGCCGCCGCCGCTGCTCTCCGTGGGGGGCGAGGGGGTGCTCGAGGCTCGAGGCGACGCGGGGGATGGTGGCGTGGAACCGTCGGGGGTGGAAAAGTCTGTGAAAAACGCGCGCATGACAATGCCGCCCCACCTTCTTGCCCACCCCGCTGCGCTCTTCTTTCTCCACCTCCGCCTTGGCCGCCACCTTGCTCGTCTTTTTCTACCCCCGATGAGCGCTGGTGGGGGGGCCTCGTCGGGGTACTAATTAAAAATTCAACCGTCGACGAGTCCCTCCAAGACGTTGGCCCGGTTTTCCCGCCGCCTCCCCCCCTCCCTCCCCCGTCGGGATCCTTCCCGTTTCATTCATTCCTTCTTTCCCTTTCTCTTTCCTTCGGCCCCTTCTTCCTCCGCCCGCTGCTCCTTCGCGTCATTCCGCGTCGCCTTCGAGACGTCCGCGCGCCTCTTTTATTTTCTTCCCGGCGCGGCCACGCGACCCTCCGACGCGGGGCGACAGGTTGCGGCGGGAAGAAAACGCGACGAAAAGATTTCCTCGATCCATCCAGGCCGGATTTACCGTACACGCGACTGGGTTAAGGGCACGATCCGGAGGGCTCGGGATCGAAGATAGCTTCTCTCGGACCCCATAGGATTTAACGACGATCGTTTACGCGAGAGTCAAGGCCTTTTAAATATCTTTCGACGCGATCGATCCTCCTCCCGCGCTATTATCCGATTTTACAGTTAATTCTCTCGTATCCCCAGGAAATTCAAACGCAATTTGCTCGATCATTCGCCGGGCCGTTTAAACTTTCACGCAACCCGCGCGCCTTTTTTCTCGTGCCTCGATCCTCGTTCTCTAAAGTTTTCGAGCGTCGACTCTGATATTCCCGTTGCAAACCCGACTGTCGCGCGTACGAACGTGGCATTAAGAATTCCCGAGCGAATACGTCATGTTCTCGAAAGAACAATGCGTCCGCGGGAGATCGAAGAACGGAACTCCCTGCGTTTCGAACGCCGCGCGAGTGAATTCCAACGATCGAAGCCCCCTGTTCGCGGAACGTCGCGTTCAGCAAAAGTTCGTCGATCGTCGGGTAACAGTTTCGAGGGACGCGTTCGCGTGCGAAAAGTTTCGCTCTACTTTTCAAGTTCAGCCGAGCGCGCGCGGCCGGGTCTCGTCGACGGCGCGGAATCCAAAAATAATGATACTCGGTTCCGTCGGCGTTCGGTTTGTCTGGCACTCACCTTGCGCGATCCTGACCGCGGGCATTTTGATCCTCATGGTGACGTTCTCGATGTTCGCGGCGCTTAGCACGTCTGGAAATGCGTTTCCCTCGGCGGTCCAGGACGGAAGGGGTCGTTTCGCGGCGGTCGTCGTGCTCGCGTTTCCCTCGTCTCTGTAAACTTTTCCTTCCACGGGAGGCGAGGACGACCACGGTGGAAGGAAAAGCGTCTTCTCGTTCGGGGAAAAGAGGGAAGATCGTCACGCTTCAGCCCTCCTCCTCCCCCTCACCTCCGCCTCTGAGGAACGAGTCCATCCGTCGTTTCACCTGTTTCCACCTTGATAAACTTCACTGGGCTCGCGGTATTTCAGTTACTGATTTACACCGGACACCCCCCTGTTCGACGCACTGTTCGGCTTCTCTCGCACCCTGTCTGCCCCCTGGTCCTTTAATCTGTCGCGTCCGATCGTCCCTCGCGCACCTGGCCGCGACGATTGACGGAACTGACAGTCGGCCGGGTCGCGCCTCTTCGTCAACTGGCGCGCGTCCTCATGTTCCTCGACCGGCGGTCTGCTCCGCGTGATCGCGAGAGCCGGACGGGAGGACGCGGTTCGCGGCGCGCATACGGCACACCTGATACCGATACCGATTCTCCTCGCGGACAGACGGAACCGCCCGCCGCGTGCCGCACAGGTGCCGACGCGCCTTATTCGTTATTCCCGCTCGTTCTCACAGCACACGGGTCACCACCGAAAACGGGAACGTATCTCTTGGGTAAACCGATCACTTGGTCCGCCGTCGCGTACAGTCACGCTCGTGTCACGATCATTACGACCGTTCGTCACTGGTCTCGGCCCCTCTCACTGACCGGAACAAACAGCAGTCGGAACAACGTAAACGAAAACAAAAACAAGGTCCTTTGGTCGCGCGACACGCGTCTCGGCACGGCCAACTGTCTCCGCGGACCGTCGCCGACGCTGGTCCCTCTTTGTTCCGGTGTCTCGCGACGCGTAACCGGGACTGAGTCGCGTGTCCTGCTCGTCCTCTACGGCCTGGTGGTGGTGTCTCGTGCGGCCTGACGCGCGGAGGATGCTGGATGCCTGATGCCGGCGTGGACCAGAGCGACGATGGTCCAGCATGGGTCGTATCTCTGAGTGGACTGTGCCGGACGGTGCGCCTAGTCGTGCCGTGCGGGACCTGGTGTGTCGGGCACTGCGCTCGCTTCGGACGCGCTCGGTTCGGCTCGGCGCCGAGGCCGGACACCCCACGCGCTCTCGGGGTAGTTTTCACCCCCGTGGTGGGGGTAACGCGATCCCCCTCTCTCTCGGTCGCGGCAACGGCGCTCGACGCTCTCGGCGGCCCGACGCCTCTCTCTCTCAGTCCGCAGGCATCTGCTCGCCTCTCTCGGTCTCCCTTCTCTCATCGTGCACGTACACGCTCGGTCTTGCGAGTCCTACAACCGCGTTAGTCCTCCCCCCGCGACCTCTCCCTCCGCTCCTCTGCCCAGCTCGATCATTCTTCTCTGTCCAGGCTGTGTCGCGAGTCTCGTGGCTCCAGGAGAGTGTCCGTCGGACGACGCACCGAGATCCTCTTCCTTTACCGCACCACAGGGGTAGCCGCCGCGTTTTTTTCACCCCTCGCTGTTCTCGCTGTTCTCGCTTTTTTCCTCCGACCGGGGATCCCGTCGAACGGAACGCGAGCATCGCTGTCGGTTCGTATCCGCGACCGAACCGTTCTGTCCCAAGGTAACGAACAATTGTCACTCGTCGAACGTAGATCAGCCAGCTGTTACTAACCATCGATTCAAGAATTCAAGAGCAATACACTCGCAAAGGATGTGTAGTTTAATTCGAATCGCGTGCAAGAGTGGGGGATTGCGAGGGAAACATCGGTTGCGGGGTTTTTAACCCCTTCACGCTCATATTTTTCGGGCTGACCAAGAATAATCAGTTTTCTTTATTGGATCTGTTTCTAAGCTATATAAAGTTTTGGTTTTGTTAATTACAATATTGTATCTAACATATAATTTGAAAGAAAACAAATATTGTCATCCCTTAAATCATTTTTCAAAGCAGTCGGACTCGGTCATGAATGTTAAGGGGTTAAAAGGAAGAAGAGATTAGCAGTTTTGTTCAATTCATTTTCCTCCAATTGTAAAAATCCTGTACACATAGATAGATGATTTATTCCATTTGAAATAACTCTCCCATACGACTCGACATAAAATATCCACTCCATAATTCGCATTATTTAAATCGGGTACCAAATCTGTAATTTCTATTATTCGTTATCCAGCAAAGTGTGATCCAGATAATTAGCTCCGATTCGGTGGATCATTTCTCCGAGCACGGACCCAATGTTCGTTACCATCTCATGCCGGGGAAGATCAATAACTTAACCCCGGACCTAGCCCAGTACCTAAACGCTATTTCGAAGATCCCGATTTATATTCCATCGAAGAAAAGCACACTTTTTGACGGCGTTTTTAGGATTCCCGACGTCCTCGGTCCCTCGGTTTCCAGGCGCTGTTTTAACGGTTCCCAGGTTTCCGTGGCGGAACGGGAGAGGGGTGTCGAGAGTTTTCGAAATACACGGGCCGTTAGTTTTCAGGGGGCGACGATACGATTAACGCTGGTCAGGCGTTTAAATTACCCCGAGGTAATTTCTATGCGTGTTAAGGCAGCTTGGACCGGCGCCAGGCTTTTGTTGACGATCGGTGTCACATTTGTTATACTCGCGTTACCCCGGTTGCCTCTTCGAAATTTCTTTTGGGTATCCTTGCCCGCCCGGTCGCTCCTCGCGACGTTTTCTATTCCCTTTCGTTTTCGGTTTTTGTTGTATAAATATTGCGACGCGATTTACGCGACCGACGATCACTTTCGCGGTGCTTCGAGGTACGTTTATCGAGAGCAGTTTCGAAGTGACGAGTTTATTTGTAGTCCCGCGTTGCATACGGGCGCTAGCATTCGATTCGACGACAGTTTGCACCGGGTTCCCCACAGGTTCGGTTTTTGCGTCTACGAAGACTGTCAAAATTTTTAAAGAACACAAAACGCAATTCTTTATAAATTTATACATTATTTTTTACCCGTAGTCTTTACTTTCCTACGTTATTTTCCTCCGCGGGTAATTTTTTTGAACCCATAATTTATATACTTTTTCCTTTCAACGTAGATTATCGTAACCCATAAATAATCGGTCGAAAACATCGAAACAATAAACACATTATTGCGTCCGCATTCCGTATCGCCGACATTGATCGTAATTAAGACACCGAACTAAAATTCGAAATATACTTTAGATAATAAGCAATTAGTACTTAAAGGGCCGCTCGTGTATTTTAACCATCTATTGTATGAATGTTACTTTATCTCTCAAAACAGGAATTATTCCTCCGGTTGGTTGTGCGTCCATGAATTAATTAATACTCCAATCAGACAGTAAATGAGCGAACCAGCAGAGCTATTAGATCCCCCTATAATGCGCAAATCCCACAAAATTTTCTCAGCGAAACTTTACAAGGATTGTTTTTATTAGATTCCTAATTGGGTAAATTATGCAATGCAGGGTTAACGTGTCTTTCACGCAACTCGTTAAAGATCGTGCCCGTGGTAATTGTATCTTGTTTTGGCGTATTAATTATATGTTCTGTTCGAGTCGTACGACAGTTACTCCTCGTTACTGCAAAACGAAACGATGGTATTGGAATTTTAATCGTTCGAGGCGACTTTTTTTTATTTACGATTTTCAAGATTTCGTGCTCGATGTTTTGAATTTTCCTTCTTGATCTATTAATGGAAAAGGAGGCTGGTGATTTTTCGCGTCATCCTTAATTCATCGCGGTGAATCGTCGCCGAAACGGGTAGATTCAAAACAGCCCATTGACCGTGCGACGAAAACATGGGGAGAATTATACCGGGCGCTCATTCGACTTTTAAAACGGACCGTTTAGATTCGAGCCGGTGGAATCCTACGTATGACTATATTCGCGCGAACAATGATCTCGCGGTATTCGTCACTGGGCGAAGCGACGGTATGGATCCGCGGGAGCGATTACCGATGCACGCTCGTCCCCTTCGAACTTCCCGTAAACACGTACACCGTCGAATCGCAGAGAAAGTGGAGTAGACGAGTGTACGCAAGGAGATACCTGCTCTCTCACATTAATTATTCCGTGACTAAACCCTTCATCCACGGTGGGATCGATACCTGCGACGCGGATCTTTCCACGGGATTACTCGCCCAAGGATCGAGATCCTGAGACAGAAAGACAACCGAGAGGGAGACGAATCGAACGCGCGATCTCGACGAGCGACGAGGACGCCAACGATCGCCAGGATCTGCTTTCCAAACTTTTTAACAGACCCCTTAAACAAGCAACAATCTCTTCAACCGAGATAAATACCAGATTTACAAATAACAAAGCAAAGCGTCCATTACTCGTTTGCTATTCGATCGATGCAAGTTTAATATTTTACACAAAGGCACGCTTTAGAATTATTAATTTCTTAAAACTTCAAGTTCTGTTATCAGATAAATTTCAGTAGCGTTGATCGCGATGGTTAAATTTCTAATTGCGTCGACCAGCGTCTTTTAATTTGGTCCCCAGAGTGGGGCTGGGCCTTTTTCTGCTTTCCCTCGGCTCGGGAAACGTGGGGAGGGAGGGCCACGAGTGCCGAAAACGTTTCCCAGGCCTGGGGGCTGTCCTGTCCGCGGCGTTTCTCGCCGAAGGATCTGAAGTGACTTTCGACTAACCGACGGAATTATCTGTTGCTGGTCCTGGTACAGATTCCTGGGTCCTGGACAGTGTTCCCCGGACCTGTCCCAGATATCTCGACCAATCTGTGAAACGACACCGTGCCTGGGCCTGGCCGCGCTGCGTCGTGCACGGACTGTGAACATCGCATTTCCGTCGAGCTTTCTCGCGATACCTCGCACACGAGCTCGTTGTTTCTCGCGTTAAGGTTACCGATATTTCCATCCTGGCCTCTCCAACGCTCGAACGAGCTGCCAGCTAATTTCAGATTAAAAGAAAACAACTTATTTCAACAATTTTCTGGGAAGAAATTCAAAATTAATGCATCGTATCAATGGATTATAAAAATAATTCGGTAGACAAGTACCTTTTACTACTCAAGGATAAATTTTTGTATCATTCTTTAAATGTCCGTTTCAAGATTCCTGTTTTCGTGTATTTATCACGTTTAAATTATAAATACGACGTTAGTTGTCCGGAGAACGAACGATTTCGGGTCGAGACTTCAATTAAGATAAACGTGTTATTATTTTTCGTGCACCTTTCCTTATAAATCCAGTTTAAT